AAACCCTGGGCCGGCTGCAGCAAGGACTCAGCCTTGGTACATGGGTCGCCAGCTCTACCCACTGAGCTAAACGGGTGCCCAACATTTGTTTTATTGAAAGAAAATCTTTGCCTGTGCCCTTTGAATGTGACTTTCATTAATATTCAACAATGTAAATATTCAACAGTGGATCGATGAAGTGCTCTGCAGGGTGCTGATGACCCTCATTCTTAAGTCTAATTGCAGCCTTGTTGGCAGTAAAGATTGAGCAGGATGAAGAATGCAAACTAATTTTCATGTAATATACACTGCTGAATTTATAAATGTCCGTCCCTCAAGAGACAAAGACAACTGAGATGTTGCACTTTTGAGAGTCAAACATCTCTCACAAACCAGCACCACTTCTACTCTGAAAAGATTCTCAGTGTATTGCGTGTGTTGTGTGTAATTCAGAAGACATGTTAGACTGTCCCTGGAGCAAAGCACTAGTTTTGATGCTAGAGATGCAATAAAAAGTGGATGTAACATCTTGGCAGATGACTCAGTACATTGGAGTTCGGTACTCTCCAAGTTCTTGATTCTGGAGATTGACCAAGATGTTGTGATAGCAAGTAAAAGACTCTTTCTTATGTTACTTTGTGTGGCAGTATTGGAATTGTTGGGAAGTGAAAGTACATTTACTTAAATACTGTACTTACATGCTTGTAGCGTTACTTGAGTATTTTCATTTTCTGCTATTTATACTTAATTATTGTACTTTTTACTTCACTACATTTATTTAACAGCTAAGGTTTCTGGTTACTTTCCACAATAAAATTGTGTATGAAAAATATGATCAACTTAAAATAGCCTTTTTCTGCTAAATGTGGATACTTTCATTAAATTTTGCTGTACTTTTACTAAAGTAAGATTTTAAATGCAGGAATTTAACTTGCAATGGAGTATTTTCTACATTGTTGTATAGGAACTGAGCACTTCCTTCACCATTTAGTATTCCTAACGCCTGCCTCTATCTTCCTGTGGAGGTACCACCAGATATAATCAGACTAACAAGCTCCCCTCGGCGGCGTCCACAGCCTTTACATGGATGACCTGAGTGACTGCATGATTAACTTATAGAGCATATAGTCGGATGAGCAGGGGACAAGATGTCATCAAAATGTATCTGCAGCAGCATTATTAGGGTCTATTCTTAAGTCTAAGTGCATGTATGAGTGCTTGCTTACTATCTGCACGTGTGTGTTCATGTGACTGGGTGCAACTGTGTACAGATTTGTATGTACCTTACAAAGCTGGGGGCTTTTATTTCAATAGAAACAGCAAACCAAGTGTACTCTGCCATTCACACACGTCACACGCTACATGAACACTCCCCACTGTCTGCTGGGGGCTGGCTGGCCTGGGCCAACCTTAGCCCCTGCACTCTCCAACACCAGATGTAGGTCGCTGAGTGCTGCAGGGGCTGGGGGATGCGGTGTCTGTGGGTCTGTGTGTTGGTGGGGAGGTTGTGGTGTTATGTGCGCACACGTGTATGTGTGTATGCACTTAGACGGGAGGGGGGGGGGGATGATTGTATAGTGGATGAGTTCATCATCAAGGACATGGCCCCCAGCACACTGTCTCCAGTGCTGTCACATTGCATCGTCACAAACAGGCCACATGAAGCCTGACAACCTGGCAGACCAGACCGAGGGGACTCTCACTGGTCCCTCTCTGTGTCTCTCTCTCTCTCTCTCTCTCTCTATTGTTTTCCTTCTCTTACATTCTCACTCTCATGCATTATCAGCTTATTAATTAGAATGTAATCAGCTATGGATTTGATTATAGGAGGGTTGGGTGGAAAGTTTCAGGAGCTTCTCTCCAGCAAGTGGTTGAATGAATCCATAGCTGAAACAACTGATTTTATTTCTTAATGTAGCTGTTAAAAAAATTACTCTGGAATCCAAATGCTTTATGCTCCATTCACAAGATAAGTGCAATGAATTAGTAAGAGATACTTAATTCTCTGTGACACCCAGAAGACCGGCTTAGTCTTGGAAGTTGAGTTAAAGTGTGAACTTTACACAGGGCCGAGCTCCTGAGGATTTCATGAGGATGTCAGTGTATCTCACTCTGAAGGCTATTTTCATCTGAAACACTAATATTAGCTGTGCACCAAATTCTATCCTACATACAAATTCATTGCAGGTTTTTAGTATGTAGTGGGTTGGTATGGAAAATGTGAGAGTTTACAGCCTTGCTAGTGGCTCTGTAATGGCTCTGTTTTCAAAAATGTTTAACTATTTGTTTAACTGTAAAAAGTGTAGTCATATTTATTTCAGACTTTTCTCATTTCTTTTCCATTCCACCAAAGTGCAAAATAGTTATATTTCTTGCAATAAATCCCTGTTTTACTTCTAAAGTCTCCGTCTCTGTCCAGCATATCCCTGCTCTGACACAGCAGTCTAGGGGGAAATTTCTCAAATCTAAACTGATTACAGTGGTGATGGCAGCATTCCCTGCTGTGTGCCAGTTACCGCACATCCCCCACACACTTTCTCCCTAACCTCCCTCCTCCTTCATCATCACAGCTGATTGCACTGCTGAGGTCCAAATGAACCGTTAACCCCGTCTTCACCAAGGCCATAAATAGACACCACAGAATGGCATGCAGGCAATGATAAGACAAAGCAGAATGTTTCTGCTTGTGTTATGGATCAGTGGAGTCGGTCAATGTGTCCAAAGTCACCGTTTGTTACTTAATTAAGATCTGCTGTGAATGGACTGTGATAGACAAGGGCTGACATCTTTAGGCAATGAGCTACATATGCCATAGCCAATGATGCATGTAGCAATAATGTATTAATGATGCACATAAATATTTCAGTTGCTTTTCACAATGTGAGCTCTTGGTCTTAGGTTTCTTATGAGCCATTTACTGTGAATGCTGCTTTCCCTTCACACACACAGTACAGCTGAACAGGCCATCTGGTTTAATGTGGCATCCATTAGACTGACAATAAAGGCTGAAACAGTAAAACTGTTAAAATGTGGCTGTCATTAAGTTCTTGATTTCTGGCCCGTAGCGAATCTTGAAACAAACAATAGTTACATCTTTTAGGAAAGAATTTCTTGATCTACACTTCTAATATATTTAAAATGGGACCATCATGTTCATCCGAGCAGATTTAATATTTGTCGCAACTGAAAATGGACTTAATGTGCTTTATGAATAGTCACTTGACGTATGTATGGTTCTGAACCACCTATTGTCTCAACAGTAGTATAATAGGTTCCCAGTGGTCCTAAACTCAAATTACCTGGCTAACACTGGTCAGGTTATTCTCTTCAATGGGAGCCACCTGGGACACTTGGCGTGGGAATCTTAAAACCAATCACTTCTAAGACGGACAAACATGGTTTAACAAATTTAATCAAGAGGATTTGAAGCCCATGAAAGCATTGACTAAAGCAGGGGTTCCCAAACTTTCTCATGTCAAGCAACCCCCCACAATAGATGCACACTAAACCATAGACCCCCACTTTTAGCAGATGTTTTCCTAAGGAATCCCCTAGGAGTTATCCTTTTTATTTTTAGGTCTTCATAATCAGTCAAACTAGCCAACCCGATTTCTTCCCTTGCTCCAACTTTCAAAAACCGTGATAAAAGTCTATTTCTCCTTGTGCTGGGGACCTTTTACAACCCACTTAAGGACCCCAGTTTGAAAACCACTGGACTAAAGGAATTAAAGTCGAACTTTTACCAAAAAATACCATTAAAACAAAATAGGTACAATGTACATGTTTACAAGTTACACATATAGCCAAATATCAAATGTGAAATGGAAACAATGTTTGCAAACATGCCACAAAGTTAAACCTGAATAACCAATCCCATTGATAAGCACCAATACTGATCCAAAGTTTTAAATTTGTCCTTCTCTATAAAACATTTATAATATACAGTGTGCTAGGACTGACTGTGTTAAAGTGTGTTAAATGTTGAGCCTCATAACCATCCAAAACAAAAAACACTAATTAAGAAAATACAGGTTTATTAACAGCTCAGTTCAAAAGTATCCATATATAATGTTGTAACACAGAAAAATAAAGCTGCATTAGAAATATTCTCTCTGAATATTCAGATTCATCGTTGGCAACAATACTGAACTGTATAATTCATGACACCCTGATATCAAAACATGTTAAAGATGTAGTGACAAATCAGCTCCATAGTTATATTTCCTATTTATAATGTCATAACCGAATATTGTCAAAAATAAAACAGCCCACATTCCTAAAATATTAAAAAGAGAAAATAATATGTATGTTCTTCTTATTATCATCTCCCAAAATGTCATCAGAAAATATAATTACAGGGCTGAGCAGAATGAATCGAGATGAGGAATTACAGTGTTTTGCTAAGTCAAACATTTTCCGTTGTCACATCTTCTTAGTATTTTTAATTCAGACAGTGAAATTGTGGCACAATATTGAAAAAGTTCCACAAAGTTACAAGGATGGACAGTATATTGTTAATATTGATATATTGCTCAGCCTTTGCTTATGAGACTGTGGCAATGGGTCATACAAATTAAAACAGTTAACAGTTGCACATTGCCATATGTGTTATTGCAACGCAAGTTATAAGACTGTGAATACTTTAAATACTGACGACAGCTGAGAGATTACAGTAAAGATCAGTAGCGGTCATAATGTGGTCTCTGATGATGGGAGTTGTATCCCTGGTTGGAGCTTGGAGGGCCTGATTGATACCCACTTCCATGCCCCGAGTACCTGTCTCTGTCTCTATCTCTGTCTTCGGTTACTATCCTATCATCTCTCTATCCTCTGTCTCTGTCTCTGTCTCTTATCTCGGTTACCGATCTCTGTCTCTGTCTCTATCTCTATCTCTATCTCGGTCTCGGTCTCTGTCGTGCCAGTGTTGCTGCCGATGATGGTCCCCTCTCCAACCCCTGTCTCCTCCCCAACCTCGGCCTCCTCCTCCCCAACCACGACCTCCACGGCGGTCCTGGTACCTAAATGGAGACGAAATGACATAAATTAACTATCAATTATCAACAACGGATACTAATGCATGCATTACACGGAACATGTAAAAAGACAGAAACCCAAATGACACATATAGACGTTTAAGAAATCTGGTTTCTCGAGTAAATCTAGCCGTGTTTGCTTTCTTACCACAATTATAGAAATTGGATTTCTCCTTTACATGACAGTTAATAATAAAAACTGTCATGTAAATAAATAATAAATAAAGTTCTGCCTTTATCTTCAAGTTAATGTGAAGTCAAAATAGTTACAATTTCCCCTGGGGATTAATAAAGCATATCTTCT